TGGGCACGCGCCTGCCTGTGCCCGAAGCGATCTATCAGCTTCCTAGTATATGTAGATCATTGGAAAAACCCAAAGGCAGCGATCGCTTCTTCGCTATGATTCCTCGGAGGAGAAAACGTGGGCAGTCCCCCGGAAAGTGCTGTTCGGATACGATGTCCCCGAAACAGTTCATTCACAATTTCATACAACCCCAGTTTAACGGGGACGCCGCGGGTACCGTGGGGTATGGGACGGTAAGTGGCCGATGACAGCAATTCTGGCCGGAAACTGGAACACATCTCACCGCCGAGGGGAAATATCTGGTATATGCATGATGACAATGGTGAATCGAATTTCAACTTGACGGAGGACAACGATGAGCGCTACCGATGCGAAAGAGGTCGCCAGAGGAGCTGGTAAGGAGGACCCCTTCGAGAAATTTCTCGAAGAGAACCAAAAACTCTTCGCGCAGTTCGCAAAAACCAGCTACGAAATCAAGCTCGGTGGAGCTGCTCATGAAGTCAGGAAGGCCATGGAGGCCGATGGGTGCCCAAGAGAGAACTTTGGTAGCTTCACGATCCTCGGCGAAATTGGCGCAGGCTTTTCCGCGGCAAGGTTCAAAGCACTCTTCAAAGACAAGACGCCATATATGCTCAAAGTACTTGACAAAATCCTTCTACAGAAAAACGACACCTTGATATATCTGGCGTTCCAAGAGAAGAGACTCGGTCACGCAGTCGACCATCCTTTCCTCATGAAGGTGATGTGCGCATTCCAAGACCCTAATAATCTATACCTCGTCTCGGAGTTCGCACCGAAAGGCGATCTCGAAACGAATTTCAAGTCGATAGCCAACGCTGCGTCCGAGAAGATCATCAAACTGATAGCGGCTCAACTCATTCTGGCTCTCGAGTACTTGCACGCTTGTCTCTTCTTGCATAACGACTTGAAGATGAGGAACGTGTTTTTCTTCCGGAATGGTTACCTGAAAGTGGGCGAACTGGGATCCGCCAAACAGACCTACGATCCGCAAAGCTTTGGCGTACCTGTGCCGAAGAGCATTACGCTTCAGACTCAGCTGCAGTACGAGGCGGACTGGTGGGATTTCTCGCTTATAGTCCACAGGCTGTTGATGGGTAGACCGCCGAATCTGACTGGTCACGGCAAGTTGAAGGAGTCTTTCTTCGACCCCGAACACCACGCGACGGGCTTTCCGAAATTACAACTCAAAGAGGACGCAAAAGATCTTCTAAATAATCTGTTTCACAAACACGAACACCGACGACTCGGCTTGAAGGGAGGGAGCGCTTCAGCCCTCAAGGAACACGCGTGGTTCAAGGACATTGATTTCGTTGCCTTGTACCACAAAAAGGTTTCGATGATTCATATCCTCCCGTTCCTGAAAGATGTCACAGTCGAACCATCGAATGATGTTCCCCGAAATTCCATACCCGCAAAGCAGGAACTGTTCGAGGGATTTTAATCCGAGGCTCCCCGTCGGCTCTGGCGCTCGTGCGCATGGCGTCGCAAAATCAATAAAGAGTTGAATAGGGTATTCCACCGATCGGGGGAATTTTCGACTGACCCAGGGATTCGGGAAGAATCCGAAATGAATGATAATCAATGAACTTCGTGAGAATCTGTCAAGGATTCGATGTCCCCTAATTCGGATGGTGGAGCCGATTACGTTCGAGGGCTTCGGCCCGAAGCCTTCGGGATATTAGACCCAAATTGAAGACTGGGACCGAGCAAAATTTCGATCCCGCGAAACAACGATGAGGAATACAATTTCTAAGCGGGCAATTCGCAATTTCTTGCGGCACATCGAATCGATAACCGATCAACATCGACGTCGCTTCTATGCAATCTACCTCAGCGATGCGAAATCCCGTCTCGAAGACAGACTCGATGCCGGAAAGTACCGGAGAGAAACTCTCGAAAACTTCGACATCCTGGGCCGTCTGGGTGAAGGCGCTTTCGGAATCGTGCTGCTGGCCCGGTACAAGGCTGACGGAGCGCTCTTCGCAATAAAAGTCTTGGACAAATTCAAAATGGAGGTTCGCGGCTGTCAGAATGAGACGATCAGAGAAAGAAACTTGGCTGCATCGGTCCAGACGAACTTCGTCGTGAGGGCGCTCTACTCGTTCCAGGACCCGCACAACGCGTATATCGTGACGGAATTCGCAGAATACGGCGATCTGAACCTCCAATTCGTGGCGAAAGAAAATGTGCACGTCAGCGAGAAGCTTATCAAACTAATCACAGCCCAAATCGTTCTGGCGATCGAGTATTTGCATGCTTGCAGCATCTTACATCGCGACCTGAAGCCAGCGAACGTCTTGCTATTCAAGGACGGATGTGTGAAAGTTAGCGATCTGGGGTGTTCTAAAAAAATTGAACACTATACTACCACATTCCAAGGGACAATCGAATACTGTGCGCCAGAAGTCATAATAAAGAAACCATACGGCAAGGCGGTCGATTGGTGGTCTCTAGGGGCTATGCTCTTCGACTTGGTGTTTAAGGAGCCTCCTTTCGGGAGAAAGAAAACTGGCGAAGAGAAACGGCACGGGAGGGCGTCCATGATGGAGGAAGTCTGTACCACAACCTTCGAATTTCCGGAGCCGTCGGAGTTCCCAAACATCACCATGAGCGGCGAGTTCAAAAATCTGATCTGTGAACTGCTGGCACCGGATGCCAACGCTCGATTAGGTGGAAAGCGAGGGGGCGCCAAGCATGTCAGAGCGCATTCTTGGTTCAGAGAAATCAATTTTCTGACCCTCTTCTTTGGAGGATACAAAAATTCACTCATTGCTGAGCTACCAGACGGGGTGGCGCTCATGAGAGCTGAACCTCCGGCAGAAGTCCCCAGGAGTGAAGGCTTATGTGAGGATCAAACCCTTTTCGCGGATTTCTGAAAGTTTCGGGCAGCGGTGCGCGATGCGGCTTGTGACGTATACTTTGCTCATTTTGTGGAGATGGAACAGTCGTATGGTCCCCTGTATGCTGGCATTACGGTTCGATCTGAACCGCGCATGAGAGGGTCCTACCGTCAATACAAACCACTATCGGAGATAGATTTCATCTAGATGGTCTCACCAGCCGACGCTGAAGATGAAGTCAAACCTTGCGAGACGAACTCTCACTAAATTCCTTCTGGGGACCGACGCGCGGCTCGTTCACGGCCGCGTATCTGGTCCTCTCCCGCAGCTGTGATGTCTCAATGTGACTCATGTGTCATCAATGCTCCAAACAAGTCGAATAAAAAGACGACGATCGACCTAATTGTACCTTTAACGGACGTCTGACTAGAACTCAGACTACAGAGAATTCCAGAGCGCTCGGGTGCACGGAGCCTTGCTAGAGTTTCTGTAGCCGTATGAAATATTCTCGTGAAGAATCTGGAATCAGTGGAGTCTCGCCACGAGTGAGTTATACAATGGATTGCTTCGCCGAGCCGCCAGGATCGAAAGCACTCACTCTACAAACGAAATTTCCACGACGATGGAGCCTACCGTGGATCTGCCGGTCGAGGCCCAGACAATCCGACTGGTACAGGGCCAGAAGTAATCCGATTCGTACGGCCGAAGGTGTGTCCAACACAAGTCTTCTGGACGCTCCCAAATTGCAGCCCCGATAATTATTCCTGATCGGGGTTTTAACGAACAAGCGAATGCATGCGGCAGACCGCCACCAGACCATGCCGCAAGCGGCGCGACGCGTTCTCTTCGCGCCCCGACGAAGAGGGGAGACGAGGAGCTCCTGCCATCGATCTCTTCCCTCCCTTCTCTGTCGAGAATGATTCATTAGTGTCCTGAAGTTCCCACAGACCCCGAATGTAACGCTTAGACCTTCGTCATCCGAAGGCATTCTCTCGTCAACAGGCATACTTGAGCGCAGGATCACTTGAAATTGATTTATTATCAAAATATATTCAGTCCCTCAGAAAAAACTTGAGTACAACGTTTTCCTTCTTCGTAGTCTAGAGTAAATTTGAACACCCTATTCCTAAGTTTCAAGTTTTCGTCCGAGAGAAATGGCGGTCTCTCTCCCGCAGAACCGTGCTCGTTTCGTAGATCCGAGGTCTCTACTCCAATGAATTGATTCAATCATCAGTGTTCTTTGATGATTGCTCCAACTAGATGCAACTACCATTTCCTAAACCGTGGTTGCTTTCATTTATCTCCGAAGCTATGCTCCTGCAGCAGTTCCATTATCGACGTTGCGATCGTCATAAGTTTCACGAGCGTATATTCAACAATAGATATCCTCGCTAAATAATGATAATGTCCTACTGAGCTGATATGGGAGAAAATTACCTGGAGGAAATGCGACCGTGTCATCTGACGTCGTTTTCGTCACCGAAACTGACAGCATAACAATGAAACTTGTAATTGACACTAAGTGGTTCAAGCCACTGGCTCAACCTACAACGAAATAACAAGGAGTGCCTCGGTACGCCATGGCTTTGGTTTGATTTTGTCCTCAATTGTTCCCCACTCCGACCACCTACAATTGTTCTGACGAAGATGCATACGATACGATGTTCAATAAATACGGTGCTCGTTTCCGCGGAGGTCGCCATGTGGAGCAGCCGAGTCGATGTCTACAGTAACCCATGCCGTTCCCAATGTTCGTTCTAGCCCCGCTTGGCTTCTACACAATGTGATCATACATGAAGACCGCTCCCCCCACTTCAGAGACAACACTCAAATGGTTTGCTAGGGCTAAGAGAGACCCGCGGCCGCCTCCGAAGCCGAAGGTGTCAGAGCGAGATTTCACAACCTCTCGAGGAACAGTCTCTTCTTCTGCACCTGGAAACGAGGAAGCGCCGGCTCAAGATCCTTCGCTCCGGCCGGGATGGTGCTCATCTTCATGTCGGATAGAGGGGACTTCATACTCACCGATTTCACTCCGTTCGTCTAGTCGGAAGGGGCAAGCTCTTCATAAATCAAGAACACGATGCATATATTCGGCGTTACGTGGAGTGAGTACGCGGTCATGCCTGGAAGGAAGATTGAACACTCCCAATGAGTGAATAGTATGGTGACCGGATGATTTTTCGTGGATGAAAGGGGAGGAGTGGGCGGATACCGCGGCGCCGCGACGTTCTCTTTTCTCTCGGGAAAAGGAAGCTATCGATTGATCCAGTCTTATATTCAGATCGCTCACCTTTATAGAAGCCTCGGATGCCTTCGCCCTTCCAAGTCTTCTTGATGACTTCCTTCAACTTGCTGTATTGCTGGTGCTGATCTTGCAGCCTAGCGCGCACGAGTTGAAACGGGTAGGTTGCAGAGGCGGCGATGAGTTTCGATACGGCTGCGAAACCCAGATATTCCCAATGCGACAACTTCTTGTTACCCGTCCGCACATAATACCAGTCTTTCATTTCTTCATAGATCATGAACTGCAGTGCGCCGTGCGACACGTTGAACAACGAGGGAACGAGACCTGCGAAATCGAGGCAGACTGAGTGAGTTCACGACCTCAGCTCACGACCCCACGAGGAGCCGAACCAGCGTCATCGTCGGTCTCGGTCGAGACGAATCCTCCCATGAAGTTTCTAATGGCTGCGTAAAATGAGCCCGTCGGGAAAAAGAACACGGCGAAGCTCGTTGAAGATGCGCCTCACGATGAGAGCGGAGTTCTTTGTGACCACAGCCCGTGTGTGTGGGTCGCAGACTCGAGACAGACGGGCAATTGATTTTTGGAAGCAGAAACTGAGAACACCGCTGCATTCTGCTCGAGTCACCCTTTCGGTGGTTCCGTCTCCGCATATTGACCCAAGCAGCGGGCATCTCACTCGTCATCGTCTGATCACGATAGCTCCCAATCACTCACCCTTGTAGAGGCCGCCGACACCCTCGTATTTGTAGACCTTACGGAAAGCCTCAATTATGCCCGTGTATCTGCGATAGGTTGGTATATTCATGTAATGGTCGGCGTATTGGAGACACATCCTCGTTTTGACCATCATGATCGGGTTTGTGAGAACCTGCGGGATAAGAAAGATTTTGAGAGCGAGCTCATTCAGATTTCTGCATCCCAAACCAACCGCTCCCTCGAGCGAGTCCGGTGGGGATCGCACGCGCGTCCCCTCTCCGGATCAATCATTGCCGCTTACAGCTGCCGCCGGCGTAATCGTCTCGATTTCAATTGCATACATACAGGAGAACAATCACTGTTCTCGGTTGCAAGCTTACACGGAACTCAATCAGAATGGACTATCGGGCAGAGCTATGAGAGCCGGCATTCAGCGTCTGGCGACAGAACAGCACCCCGTTTGTCAAAATGATTCCATTGACCTCGGCAGCTGCGCGACTGGTTGACAATTATTCAAGGGAGACGATCGCGACAGATTCAATCTTCACCTCGCGTCGCTAACTGAATACGTTAACGTTTGCAGCTCTCAGTGGTCGCTCGGTTCGGCCGTGCCATAAATTAGCTCTTCACGCTCCTAAAATATGCCTAAGCAAGAGACCTACCATGGTTATTGAACCTGCTTGAGCTGCCGCTAACATATGGTTCCAGGGTCCTAGGGTGATTTGATTGTTCCCGTCGAGCATCCAGTTTTTGATGGAGTTGTAGAAATAGAAGTAGAAACCCCACGATGCTCCGGCGCTTATGCAGCTGGCGGTCACTCCACGGTACATGCCTCGGATACCTTCTTCCTTATAAATGGTTTTGATGGCGTTCTTGATGCCATGGTAGTACGGACGAGACTTGAGCCGGCCATCGTTGACTGAAAAGCAAGGAGACCATCAGACGGGATGCTACTTTTCTTTAGACTTTCCATTCGGAAGTTACAGCTTGATTCGACCCACAGCGGGTGCCAGACCTGTAGATAGGTCTGCGTCGGGGATGCCCGAGGAAAAATACCCGAAGGTTCAGCAAGAAAACTCTGCGCCATGCAACCCAAGGATCAAAACATCTAGAGAGGCGAGCACATGTGGTCGCCTAAGAAAACTCGTCGGAATTGAATTTGGCTCCCTGGCGGACTCCGGTTGCCTGACAGTGAGAAATGCGCTCGCTCGAAGTTTGCGAAAGCAGATCGAGTGACCGTAGACGTCAAGTGGTCTAGTCCACGGGCGTCCGCCCGGGTTATCAGTAGAACGAGCGTTCTATCGGAAGCACCGTTTTGACTTGTAGCAGCGGAGGGTTCCGCAAGAAACTTTCCTTTAAGTCATCGTCAATGTCATTCGCTCAGAGTGGAGTGCGTGCTGGCGAACGGCCACTCGAATAGTCAAATGCTCAAAAAACTCACCCGACAATCGGATTTTCAGAAGATCGAGAGGATGCAGCACCAATGTCGAAGTCACTCCTCCTGTGATCCCCGCGACTAGGTGATTATACTGCACCGGTATCAGCAGGTTTCTGAGAGCTTGCCATTCTCGCTGGTTGGAGCTCATGGTGCTCAGAGCCTGAGTCCACTGTGACGTGCGACACGGAACCTCAACGAAGAAAACTCATCTGGATTCACTCGAGAAATACACAAACAGAACAGGCCTCTCTTGGGTCTGCGCCATCTTCGAGAGACACTACTGGTAGAAGCAGCAGCCACGGCAGCCAACAGCTACGAGAGTCAACAAGAGGCCGCATAGAAGCTTCAGTTGCTTCATAGAAGCCTGTCGGGTCTATCGATCGAGGGGCTACGTCGAGAGAGTCAGGAACTCGCTCGCCGCTCTCTCCTCGTCGGGACCCAGGATTTAGTTCCGTTCGCGCCGGATCCCCCGCGAATGAGAATCGCTAATTTCATTTCGTGGTCCATCGACTCTCATCGAGATGGAAATGATGGCATCGAACGGATTCCCCGAGTCCGCTACGGAGCCATGAAGACCTTCCGAAGTACAATTCTTCAGGATCCCCGGAGAAAGCTATCGCTCGGAATTGAGATGGAAGGACTCCAGGCGCCGGATATCTCCACCGGCATCCGGAAATCAGCGTTTTTTCTGGACATCTCTCACGATTTCATGAGCGTATCTGCTCTGTGGAGACGCCCATTGAGTTCACGGAGTTTTTGAGCGCTTTATCCTCAAAAGCGCATTGCCAAGGTGTCGGATATATCCCCTGAGGGTCTCCGAAGGACCCCGACATCCCGATCGATAGCTTCTAATTCGGCCTAGACCCCAGGACGGGCGGTCACGCGGGTAGTTGTCAGTCGCTCGATGATTCTCGGGGGAGTCCGCAGAGTCTATAAGCATCGTTTCCGCGCTCAAGTCTCAGAAAGAATCAGCTCGAATCAGGGGCGACCCCGCGAAATTCACGTGTTCGATGAAGAATTTGGAATTCGGTGCTCGTGCTCCCTGCTATGCTCTGGATTCTTTGCTCCTTCGGGAATCACCGATCGACCGTCGGTTTGGAACATGATTCCCGCCCGACACTGGAAGAAAACAGAGTCCTCGAGTTCTCTCCTGCGCGATACGGGCTCAGCCGGGAATATTCTGATCTCGAACGACGCAGCTTCGGACGACGCCTTTGAAAGCTATGTCCATGGACGGCGAAGGTTTTGGTCGTCGGACCGATCTTGCGTGAGACTCAGCGGGTGCTCGCATTGCCGATCCGTTCTGCTCGAGAATCCGATACAACCTAATTCTCTGATGCGGGCGCTCCCCTCTGGCCCCGGTTAGGATTCTGCGAGAGCGATAACATCCAAGAGAAGCTTTCGGATCCACGAGTCGCCTCGGAATCTGAGACATCCCGATATCGTCAACTGTCTTCTGCTTAGATCCGTAGCACCGTCGGACAGCTTCCTTGAACTCCATGGACGTTGCTTGCATTGGGAAGGAGTACTAGAGTTTTGATGTTTTTTATGTTTGGTAAGCCCTTCTATCGGAGAGTTCGCAGAGTCAGTGTATCTCGCTTTCATCTGTGGGCAGCTCGTGACTTGAAGATTCCGGGCAGGCGACGAATAATCCTTTCGCCGAGCGGACGACAATTTACTCACAGCAAGCATCAGATCCCATATCTTCCTGTGCTTAGGCTGGGTCAACCAGTCTGACATTCTCAGCGCGGCTCTTACTAGAGAGCCATGCCTGGAACAGTTGTATGTGAAATAGAGAACCGGCGATTCGCTCCGCAGCGGCAGTCGGTGAACGGACGCAGATCCTAGAACGATAGCCAGGTGAGCATGGCCGACGATGGGGAAGACCTTCTCGTGGCTGAGGTCTAGAGAGGGCAGCGTCGCAAAACTGGGGGACATCCCCAACCAGGAGCGTTCTCTTGCCACTCTTCGAGAATAATTCTGATAATTCCAATGAGCGCGGATTATTCCGTGACGATGAGCGAGCTCGAGGGGTCAAAAAACTGGGGTTGGGTGGCAGTATAGGAAGCCTCGCTTTGAGATGATGAGGTGTTCCGAGCCTGGGGCCATGATACGATCCGACATTCGGTGATTCCGTCAAATGGAGGGCATGATGCCCCTCAATCGTTCAGGAACTCTGGATGGGTGCCTGTCAAATAGTAGGAACCTTCTATTAGAGCATGCCCTTCTGAATAGGGGGATCCTTAGACCGGGGCTGATATCGGGAGCCCAAGCTGAATTGTGCTTCCTTGACGAGGTTGTGGTCTCATCACATCGTTCATTTTACTTGATCAAACGGGTTCGAGTGAATATGTGTTCTTTCGACTCCATGTCCGCTTCGGAATTGAGATTGGAGGATGCTCCCGGATCGAGGGCTCTTAGGGTGCCCGTCCCAGAACTCCTCCCCAAGGGTGCCCGTCGAGAAGAACATGCATTTGAGCATGATCATGCCCTTCGAAGGTACGATGGTAGCTTCGGGCTTCCATGGAAGGGCACAATTGCGCCGCACCAGAGAGGCAATCTCCCCTCTCTTCGTGAGAGGATGCTGTCGAGATGTGTTGTTCCATCAATTCGACGCCCCAAGCGTCACATGTCGGCTACAACGCAAGAATAGAATTCATCGTGAAGATATGGGAGGGAGCTCACCACCCGCTGGTATTTTCGCGGGCGTACAGCGCTATCCTCTCACCATGCTAAGGAGCCCGATGTCCGGACTCCGCCCATCTTTCCCCAGGCAGTCCCATCATTCCCACCGAGGAACTTCCCCTTGAGCATTTGGCGGCGCATTGATTGGGGAGCGCCCCACAGGCGAGGTCAACGGAATATTCGCAGAGCATCATCGCGCCAGCTGATCTCGACACCGGGACCGAATAGTCACTCAATCTCGACCACCTGTAAACAGTTCTCCCCGATGTTTCCATGGGGACGGACTGATTTCTACGTAGCGGCTGCATGAGTCCCTAGTTGGTCACCAGGCTCCTGCACTACCCATGGCTCTGATGCTTCCTTGTGGTCGCCCAACGATTCTCGTCTATCCAGAAATGCATCGATCCGCGTTCCCCATTGACTCAGTCGGTGTTCCCCGAGACCCCGGGGAGACGTATTCGCGGAAGGACCAACGGAGCCATTGCTCTAGTGATCTGGATTCCACATTGAAGCTTCTCCGAAGAATTACAAACTGTATTGTATTCAACCTAATTTCCAGCCGAGTGGATGCTGATACTGATCTTTTCAGCCTGCATGCTCTCCGCTGGATCCCCCAGCCATGCTTCGATTACATACGGACCTCGAGTGATTTCCCGTCGCTAGACTTGCAGTCCGTCATGAGGAAGCTCGCATGGGGTCTGACGGTAATAACAAGATCACTTGTCTCTGCCCGAGAAGCTCAGCGAGATGCGTCGCCCTCCCATGCTAAGCCCGACAAGCGGTCACCATTGCCAGAGCTCGAGCGGCGGTTGCAGAAAAATTCTCTCAAACTCGGTCGGAACCCCGAGCCTAGTCTCAAAACTTGAGGCGAGATCCGGAGCCGAAATTCGGCTCAAGACATTCTATGCTCGCGATGCTCATTGGAGGGGGTGCCCATGGGAGGAAATCTACTCCGATGTATCTGCAGAGGACAGCATCCCTGGCTGAGTGAGCTCATCGCAGAATTTCATTATCATGACCTAGACGCTTTGCAACAACGTCGTCGCTAGTGTCCCCTCGGACCAATCTTCCAGGGTCCAGGCTCTCGGAAAGCGGGTCCCGCTTGTAAGTGGCTGGACGACGTGCTGTAGATGAGAGCACGGTGACTCGAGGGAGGTACTGCTTGATTCTACATCGGAGGAGAGAAGAGGATCGGTGGGAATGCTCATCTGAGTGGAATTGAAAATTGAAAGGTTTCATTCATTTTTCCCCACTGCGGAAAACCGTCACTCTCGTCAGCCGTTCGCGAAAAAGGAAGAAATACTATTTGAACTGTGAATTGCTCCTTCTAGGTAGACTCCTAATGAGAAAAATTGCTCCGGATGGAAGTCGCTGTGACATGCGCGAGGCATATCGCTGCGGATAGAACTCGAACGTCGCAATCCCCTCCTTCAGTCGGATACCAGCTCTGGATCAGACGGCAGAATTTCACGTCGCCGCCGGGTAATCCAATCCTCTCACCTAAAAAGCGCTTGCACCGAAATTACGATATATCTACAATCGTTAGGAAGATCTCGAAACAAAAATGTAGGTCTTGGAAAGGAAGCTTTGAAAGAAGACGGATCTGAAACAGCGGGTCGCTTCCCCGCCCGCATCTTGGCAAACGCTCAAGCCTCGCCTGACTAGGAGGTCATCTGGCAAGATTCAGAACTAGGTGGGTCCGTCCTCTTGAGACACTAAAAACTAAGCGATGACTTTCAAAGCGATGGAGTGCTTCGTTTGCTAGTGTTTTTGTTTTGCTTCTCTATTTCTCAGCTCGAAGCCCGCTCACCAGCCTTTCGGATATGGTTACCCGGAACCGCAACTCGGTCGAAAATCCATCGCTCCCTCTCCCGGGAACACCGTTTTCTCACACCTCGAGGAATTCCATGGAAAACGAATCTAAACACCAGTCGCAGAGTTAAAGGACAAACATTCTCCCGGGACTGCTAGTCTCCCGCCTTCCTTTCGGCGCGGCGGTCGTCTCGAGGCTCCCAGAAGACGCCAGAAGAACCACTGAGTCAGAGCGTATGGGCGTTGTTCTCCCGAGAACGGAACCTCCGATGGATCATCCATTTGCGACGGGAGCCGGAATTCACGTTTTCTCCCCGAAGCCGGCTCACGTCAGCGGAACCGCGGTCGAGGAAAAACGCAGTCCCTTGGATACGAAATCACGTTTATTGGTATCCGACAACTTGTTGCAGGACGAACAGATGGCAATGATTTGGCTGTTTCGCGTCCACTCTCTGTCCCTGTCGAGCGGACGAAGGGCAAAGTAAGGTCGCCGATAGCGCCAAGATGGGAAGACTCTCGTGATGATGATGTTTTGAAGATGATGTATACGACTCTGCTTTCTTACCGCTCTTCCATACACCCGCCCGCCCGCACGCCCGCTAGCTAGCTCGCTCTACTCGGAAGCTTGAGTGCCAGCGACCGTGCCGGCCTGCGTGCGCGTTAGTGCGTACGACATTTAGTTGTAGGTGCCATCCAAGGGCTTGTTGGACATTGCGGTATCCTTGTTGCCCAGATGTTCGCCCTTGTCCATGGACAGGCAGCCGGCTCCGCCACCGAATCCGTAGCCTTTGGGTCCGTATTTCCTGCCGTAGCACTGCTTGCAGAAAATGTCTCCTCCGTGCTCACCGACGTTGGTCGAGTCGAGTTTCTTGTTGCAGAGTCCGCACTTGAAGCAGGACTTGTGGAACTTGTTTCCGGCGGCGAGCATCTCCTCGGCGGCGTACACCGACTTTCCGCATTTGGGGCACTTGGCCTGATCTTGGGGCACGAAAGGCATCTCGGATTTTCTTCGTCAACAGGAGTGTGGGCTCGCCTAAAGAGAAGACAACGGACACTAGTGCTTCAATCTTTGCTACAGCCAAAGAACGCTATCGAGAAGCCGGAAAGGATGGAGGAGGAGGAGGAGGAGGACCACGACAGCGAGCACGACGAGAGTTTGCTCATTCTAGACCGCGGTTCTGGCCAAACTTAGAAGATGGCCCACCAGACGCCTTCTTCCCGCTCTTACCACCGGCGCTGCTGTGGCCGTCAATGGTGAGGCTGCCACTCCTGGTTGTCGGTAGTGGTGCTAGATAGCTAGCTACCTAGCGGGCCGGCCGGCCAGTCAGTCACTCGGACGACCAGGCGCTAGGCAGGCTGGTAGTCTTCCAGGCAGGCGAGCGAGTCAGGCTTCGAGAGCTGCCGCAGAACCCGTGGCGGCATCGGCACCCGCCACCACCGCCGCCGCCGCGCAGCGGCACCACCACCGGCGGCCTGATATAGGACGGCCGCTAGCCTTTAAGAGTTCTCTCGAGCATTTTACCGCCTCCTACACTGAGCCTGCCACCCCGCTTGCAATGAAGCCTATTGACAAACAGATGGTCGACCCCACGGACTTATCGGACGGCTCGTGGACTTTTGGAACGTAGCTCGCCATGCTCACGTTCGAACATTCGAACATTCATGTCGTATCCATGCGGTCGCGCCGGAACGACGAGAGTAAACGCCGAGAAGCATTCCGCGGCTCGAACTCCGCATGGAAACGCGTGCTGCGCTGATGAATCGAGTGAGAAAATATCGAGGAGCGACATATAATTTTTGTCACCCTCTGCTTCGCTGGGTCGACTGAGAAACGGTCGAAATCGCTTGACAGCAGCTCACGTATTTAGAGCTCGCGTTCTTGACACGGAGAGAGAACCACCGATGCTTCTCTACGCCTCGAAAATTGTGGGTCGCGGTCGACTAGCAGTGTTGTAAGCGTATTCCATTCACTCCGTTATAAAAACTTCAAGTCGTCACGGCCGCTGATCGAACGTAGGTATACAGGATGTCTTGAGGTGTCATGTTAAGTTTGGTAAGGTTTTCCCTGTATGTAGGTTAGTCGAGCGCAGGTCAGTTTCTGTGGTTCTCGTCTGGGAAAGACCATGTAATCCGTCTTCGTGGTCTTAAACATTGTACATATAACTCAAATATCGAGGCATCAGTCCCTCGCTCGAACCGCCGCCTGCTATCCATCAATGCTCCTTTTGAAGCAGTGGGCGACCGAGGGAGAAAGTTCGCCTTGGCATCGAATTTCATTCACGGGATAATTCATCATTCTGGAGGAGAGTTCTGGGATTTTTGATCTCTTTTCCTCTCAGAAGTTTCGGACTCTCGCCCATGGCGACGATTTGAAAAACTCTCGCTACCCGGGTCTCCCTCCTCACGCTCCTCGGTCTGATTCTGAGGATTTTTTCATTTTTCGATCATTCCCTAGAAAATATCGAGCTGAGAGCTCCCTGACCGCTCCCCGCATTCGCATGTCGTATGTCTTGCGTTATTCTCACCACCCCTCGGGTTTCCTACCGGAGAGGGGTTACCAAGATACCTCCCTCTCTCACAACGAGGGTAGCTTGACTTGCTGGTTGGAATTCGATTGCCCAGCATACTTCCGTTATCGACTGGCTCTACACTAGCTAGATACAAAGGTAGCTGCCCTACAATTATCGGCTTTAGACCTCCCATGAGCGGGTTATCATCCGAATGATCATCTGATGAGGTGGGCTGGCTAAGTCAGTGGTCTGCCATGAGTCATGAGGAGACGAGCATCCATCCGCATCGCTGAGTAGGACCGAGAAATGCTCTCTGCCTGATCAAGAATGTGTAATCGGAGGAACATCAGATGATCACGAGGAGAAATTCGGGAATGGGTTCGTTCTACAGAATTCGGCAAAGCACGAGGCGGCGGGCCAGGACGGAGGGATGGCGCCCCATGCTGCCTTCCAGAGGGTGCAAAAAAGTCACCTGACGCACGAGCAAGCGGACCGACCGACTCATGAGAACGCGAAACCTTGGTGCCGAGGTTGCATTGCTTTCAACTTTCAAACTCCGATGGAGGGGCGGAGTTTGATTCCCATAGTCGGATCGGCCTCGAAGTGGTTAACAATGTGTGATGATTCATCCGTTGGACCTCGAAGTCAGTCCCCCAAAACACCCAGATTCCTTCAGGGAAGCGTCGAGCAACGTCGGCGTCATGAGGAGAGGGAAATCGAACTTCAAAAGCCTTCCTCGTAAAAGCACCCGCGAGAATACCGCCTGAGTAAGCGGCCCTCGAGGATGCAAGACCGGGTGACAAAGTCACTGTTTCTTCGCTTGTCATTTGGGCTATATTGAGATAGTTGATTCGAGCTTATTGAGCTAGCTCCTTACCGTGAAGATTTTTGGCAGCGAGGTATATGAGCCCCAAACCCCCGAGACGCGTGATATCCGATTTCTTTCCGTGACGTCATCAGGGCGGTCGAAATTCTTTCTGCTCGGCGGGCGGAAAATCTTATCCTCTATTTGTCTGGCTCCGATTATTCTGGACGAGTCACCTCTCCTTCAACTCCACAGTACTTTCGCTGAAGATTCCGATAGGAATTCACTCACGCACAGGTTTTCTATAAAATCCTCTCCAGCTTCGAGCTCCCGCAATATCTCGGGACACAGTTCCGCGCACTTCACCTCTCGCTTTTGGGCCACTTCACTCCCTGGGCTCTCAGGATGACTGCAGACGCCATGCGGAATCGCTCCGACGCCGCAGAATCTGTGCCCTCTCTTCATCTTGGATGCTGGACAGACACAAAAACGATACCCGATGGATTGGGGCCTATCCATCAACTCCTTTTTTGCCGTGCGCCACTCGCCCGATCAAGGAGACTTGAGTCCTACTGAGCTTACTGAGTGTCAAGAGAAGCTGGTAGATGGGAGACGAACCGAAAATGGCTTCGGAAAGAGGAGGAGAAAACAGAAGCTCGGGACGGGAAAGGTTCACAATTGGGAGACGAAGCCGAATACCAGGGTCGCAGCCTGTTGCTTCTGCTAGAGCTAACGGTTGAAGAGAGCGCTGTTGCAATTTGTGTCAGCAGCAAGCGAACAGCTTCGTTTTGCGTATGGGCGCGTTGCGGATGATATCCTCTAAGTCTCCTCGCTAATAATTACATATGAAAATGAATTCCACTCTATTGTCGGAGCCAGTTCGACTGCGACTGGCGAGTGGGTCCGTAGGGAGACCCTCGCCTCTTCGAAATTTCCGTCGGGAGACTTCGGAAGCTTGGAGGCAGATGAAATGAGTCCACAAAATTTTAAATGTTCTGCGGATGCTTCAATCCCGGACATATTCCAGCCACCGCCCCTCCCCCACCCGGCCGTGTGGACGATATATTCGTATCAAGTACAATGCATGGAGACTCGCGGGAGGGCAGTTGATTCCTCACGATTCGGAGTTAAGACCCTGCCCTTCTGAGCTTTCCTATGATTCACAGGGATTCCGGAGATTCGGAAAGACTCGATTTCCTTCAGGCATCGATTGTCTACGACATTCTTTCCTCAGCCTGTGTCTGACAAAGCGGAAAATCCACTCGCTGTTTCTATCCGACGTGATCTTCACCCGATCTTCGAGAACCTTTATGAGGTCACTCGTTGGAGACGACTAAAGTAAAGCCGATAAACACCTGACTCATAGTAGGCGTGGCTACGAGCTTCACGGAGAGCGAAACATCTTGCTTCAGATAGCGAGTGGTTCTGCGAGAGCACCCTTGGTCCGGAATGACTCACTCGAGCTCTTGTGGGAAGGAGTTCTGATTTCGATCGCTAATTTTCGAGCAGAAATCGACCGGATGCCGCGAATTTTGTTTAAGCTAGCTCTCACCGTTTCAATATATCCGGGAACCGGAACAGTTTGGAGGAGAGGGAGATCGCCGAAGCAAAGAGAACCAAAACCTCTTGAGGCGTTGCACTCTCCACACGACCAGTCTGTGTTCCGGCGCGTCATCTCGACGGTGTCGAACTTCGATCGTCGAGTCTTCCGTTTGAGATCCGGATTCGGAGTCTCCTCCCAGCGACCGATGCTGGCCGTTTTCCCGATATTCACCGCGGACTTATTGCCGGTCCGTTCCACGCGGCTATTTCAAGGGTAGGGCAATCAAAATCCCGCGCCGTTCTGGTGGAGGAGCCGATTCTCGGTCACCGACGGGCTCGAGGGTCCCTCAGAAATCGAATTCTCAACCCCGATCGACTCCATATCGAGCAGGACCTTGAGCAGAAGATCTCTCGGTGTCCTACCTCAGGAGTCCTTCGGGCTCACCTTCCCACCGAAGTCCATCACCGTGAGGAATCGGCTGGTCTACTCGGGCAAAACGAAAATTTCTGCTTTCAACGCCGATAATTCTGAGGAGATTACGTCTTCAGCTCAGGTTCTGCTAGGGACACCACGGTGCGGTGTCCCCGCATGGCGAAGCTTTCCTTTCGAAAGGAATGTCCTCTCGACGCCGAATATTTTCGAGAGCCTGAGTACTAGGTTGGATTCGCGAGCGACTCATAACACTTTTCAGTAATTGTGCAGTCGCTGACGCGAAAATATCGACCCCGAAGATGGTCTGCGTTCCGTTCTGCCTCGTATTCATCTCCGCTTACCCTCAGTGACCGGATTTTGAAAAGGAATGAGGGAGAGATACCGAACAGAATCAGAAAACTCGTAGATGTTCTGTGTTGGAGCTCATAGGAAAGAGAGATTCTACTTTCAGCTTCTCTTATTCTCTACTTTGTCCTGATTTTTCTGAGTGAGCTCGACAGCGATTCAAGTGTGGCGAGGGAGGCAAAGGACCGTGGTGCTCGCTGCCTGAACTCAGTACTAAGCAAAGACGAGCTTTCGGACCTTCGGCCTTAAGAGACGATCGGACATCAATGGGCTCCAATGGAATCTGAGAGCGTTCGTCAGACACACGGAACGGGAAAATCCGGAATTCGAAACTGCGCGCACCGTAGCCGGGGACAGGTCGCATGAGCACCGAGGTTCTCCCGGACACGACGAGCGGGGCATTTCTCACCGACAGCCACGAGCTCCACGAGCACGGCCGTCAACGCTTTCCATACGAGGAACTTGAGGATCAAGATAGTGCGCTATCGCCAAGATTCTCCTATTGGTCTGATCCGGCGGAGGATTTCGCCTCTCCTTGTTTCATTGATGAGAGCTCCAGGAGATAGACCAGCTCTCTCCCGCAAAAAAGTCCGATCATCATCATAGAAACGTCCGGCGGCTATCATGAGCTGATAGCTGGGGCTATCATGAGCGGACCCCGAGCATGGAATATCCGGTGTCTCGAGTACCCAGGAACATACACATGATATGGCCCATCAACTCCTGCCGTCTCCTTAATAGAAGGTGCCGTCTGCTGCTATTCGTGGAGACTGACGAGAAAGAACTGTTAAGCGTATCACAACGTGGGATGGGGTCCGCGGGATCGTGAGGGTGATCCGGCCGATAGATCCCTCCTCAGGCATCCCTCACGAGAGCTGTGGTGAATATTCGGAAGCTCATCGCGCCTCGGGCTTCGGTTAACAAACCTCCAGCATTTCAGGTCATTTCTTCGATGTTGCCGCTCGCTCGGGCGTCAAGCGCCCTTCGGAAGAGGGAAATCTGGAGGGATCAAGATCTCCCGACAAGTTACACCGGTGAGAGTTAATTGACCACTTTTTCCGGCGGAAGTCGTGCGTGAGAGCAGTCAGCGCGTACGGGCGCACTGAATGGCGGATACGGACTGGAAATAGCCGCGAAAAAAACGTCGACCGTGAGGCTCGCTTTTTAGGTCACCACACGAGACGTTGACTAACAATAAGAAGTCTCAAGAACTGGCTGAGTGGGATCTTGCTCGACAGGAATCGAGATTCGTGAAACATACATGGAGAAGTTCAATCGCAGAGGCGTATCGGACGGCTTTATTTATATGACACGAATACTCTTTTTCTCATCAAGGAGTTTGACATTGACCCCGCTCCTCTGGAGCCGAAGCCCTCGCTGGAATGTTCACGTCGTAGCGAAAAGGTAGAGGAGACCTTTGGCGAAGCCAATTATCTCGTTGCCACCCATCTTGCTCTCGCCGTAGAATCGATCGACGAATGAAATGCCGACCTCCCCGATCGAGCAATTGAACTGACGAGCTCTGACGATCATTTCCATTTGGAACACGTAGCCCTTCGAAATGCAGGAGCTCACTAATTTCTTGAGGACGTCCCTTTTGTACAAGCGGAATGAGCCGGTGAGATCACTCGCTCCGGGTCGAAGGAGAATTTGGGTGAGGAAGTTCGCTCCGCGCGAGATCAGCTTGCGTTTGAAATCCCAGCCATGAACTCCACCGTTTGAAGCATACCTGCGGTATGGGAATTATAATAAGGTCAAAACCCGACTTCGATTCGGAGAACCACTGCGACAGCGGACTCTGACCATACACTTCAGCATTCGGGAAAGCTCATACCGGGTCCCGGAAACGATGTCCAAATCCCCTTGTTTCTGTTTCGCCACCATCTGGGGAATGAATTTCGGATGATGCGAGAGATCGGCGTCCATAATCACAATGAACTCTCCTGTTGCGTGCTTCAATCCATGGATATAAGCTGTTCCGAGACCGAGTTTGGCTTCCCGAGGTCTCAGAAGGAGTTTGTCCTCCCCGAAGATTTTCTGGAGCCTCTTCGCCACTTCAAGCGTGCCGTCGGGACTGGCATCGTCGATGACGACGATCTCATACTTCAGCTTGCTGTGTACATGAGGAATGGCCTTACTTCAGAACAGTCCTAAGATTCTAAATTCTTTTACTACGCGAAACGCATGGCGATTTAGGACCGATCGGGTGCCGGTTGAGTTGACAGACTACGCCGTGACGTCCCTTCCATATGAATCAACTCACCTCCGTGTCATGTATTTGTCTATCAGCCATACAACAACCGGGAGGTTCTCTTTCTCGTTGTATGTGGGTAGTAGAATGGAGTATTTTGTGCTGTCCCCCATGTTGTCTCACATGGAATGCCTCGAATTTCCACCGGAGAACCACAATCACCGTGCTTTCATCACCCGCAAACAAGCCAGCTGCCGCGTCAGAAATGGAACGATGATGAACAGAGGCCGATGCGGCTATACACCGCGCGAGCTTCCACATTCAAATTCAGTGGAACGGCACCGATCAAGCGTACGTTCCGGATACTACGATTCGCGAACAACGACTGCGTGACGAGAACCGAGGCACGCTTCCTGGGTATCAGACGAATTCCTTTTTGGAATTCTTAACGTGTGAAGAAAGTGAAACGTTTCTATCGATTAGATTTTGTCAAGTTCTCTGCGCTCTGTGCGCACCGTGAGGACTGCCGAAAACATTTCCTTCTCGGCTCGATGGACTCCCTAGAGATTCTGAAATTGATGCGAAATCTTCGGCTTATCTGATTTGGCCCGGATGCCATTGCGATGTGATTTTGCGATTCTGATTTTCAGCTTTCGAGAGATCTTCAATCTTCACATGCAATGAGCAATCTCCTCTAGCGTCTCTCCACTCCACGCTCACCCATAGGCCCCCTTGATACTCGATCCCGTCTGGTTGATCATGACTTTGAATCCCGCTGCGTTGACAGGATGTTGGTCTGGTCGATAATCGTTCTTGTGGTGATGTTGATGATTTTCATGCAGGATATCGGCGCCTCTATGGCCAGAAGCGGCGACGCTGCCACGGTTCGATGGTCCCACGCGACGAACTCGCGCAAGAAACTGATGGACGCAATATCTTCCGGTAATTTTCGAGTGAATACAGTTTGATTTCCTGTAACACTTTTCGGACTGACAATCAATTCCCTCTCGATTCATCTCAAGAGTAAGAAATGATGATTTCTTACACCGATCATCCCCGTATTAGCCTAACTGAGGCTCGTTGTAGAGACGGTGAACTTCATAGAGGCCGATATTCTCATGGGTGGCACAAAATCCGGACTCCACGTACGTACGTCGGCGCTTCCCATCACATGACTTCATGCATGATGAATGATGACTGATGACTAGGCACTGACCTTTAAGCATTCTTTATTATAGGACGTCCCCATCATGGCCCATCCCCCGGACAACTCATCGGACATATCTTTCGCAGAATGGATTGAGATCGCCAGCGAAGCGGAGACGTCCAAGGGCTTGAAATTGGATTTCAAAGGTACGCCGGAATTCTAGGAGCCGCCGAAGCCGATCGTAACAAACTCCAGCGAATATTCGAGCTTCAGGCCAGGCCTTCTCTCCTCAGATATCGAATCAGTGGAGCCATGTCTCAGGAAACTGCAAGAAATCAAGAAGAATGTGAGAGGATATGATGAAGCCAAGGAGCGCTCCGTAGCATCCTTTGGCGGGTTCTACATACTACCGTTAAGTCTGCCTCGAACTCCCGAAGTCCGTCCTCGAGTGAATAATCTACGAGTCGGACTCCAGAGGAATCGGTTGTCGTGGCTGAGCACCGACCGGTGGATCCTGTTTGAGGATGACCTGAGAAATTGCTTTTCAGTCTGATCGGGAAATCTGGCTCAACGCCGACATCCTCATCGGCCCGGGTTCTCCAAAGAGACCCGCTGTGGATCGAGCTCGATTTTTAGCCTTGGCCGGAGCTTCTCCCCTCAAGCACACGCTTTCGATCGGGTGGACGACCGGTGCCGCGTCCGCTGGATATTCTTGGAGAAATGTCCTTGAGGTTAGTGGTTGACTATAGTGTCCCTGGAACAGATGAGTTGCCGCGGTGGGGGATTGATTGAAGGAAATCTTGCAGATGCTCGCCGTCATAGAGAAGATCCCCGAATCGACTGCGATCACTTTCCCGGTGCGCTTGTCAAAACTCTCGTTTTATCCACTGGCAGTACTGATCGGCTCGGAGAAGAACTACTCGCTTACGGTTTGGAGCAGCCTGGAGGACTCACCGTCTTACCTTGAACTGATCCGGCTATATAGAGCTTTTCCCGGGAGAGTCTTCCTTGATCTACCGGTTTCCCAGCAAGCCGAGTTTGAACGCGAGCTCATGAGCGTCGAAAATGTAAGAATCGGAGTAGGGTGTTCACCGTTCGACTCCATGGTCATCGCTGACTTTCCTGAGGTCGTTACCATATCAGCACAGATTCGGCGCACCCGAAATGATATGCATATATATGACAATTACAGGTCCCGTGCCCAAGAATCGCTGCACCTCAAGCGGACACAAAGATTCGAGTGTTTCCGTACACTATTGTGTCCGAAGGCGCCGGGGAAATCACATTGAAGAGCGACCGGCCGTGTACCTTCCGATGGGATCGGATCGACGAAAACGTCAGGGTCGAAGGACATCAGGAAAACTCCGGACCCAAACCCCTGACCGAATTCAGGCTTCGAGTGGAGGGAACAGGACGAATAGCATTTTACCCGACCCACTGAGATGTCCGGTGATTCACTACCGACCATGACATAATTTATTCCTACAGCGATGAACCACACCGAATTCCCGTCCCAGCGTCTAGAACACCGACCGTAAGTCATCGCTCATTAGGTACTTCTACCTCGGTCGCATCGTAGCAAAGCTTGATCAAGGCAAGGATCGATCTTCGAAATGAGCAGCGTTTAGGCAATCGAAACAATATCTCTCGCTTCTACGTGCAGATATCGCCGTAATCTTTGAAGCTACGGGCCAATCAGGGCATCTCAGAATACTGGGATAAATGAAAGTCGGCGCTTTCGTGGAAATATGTCGGAGTAAGAATGTGCGACCGGAAGATCTAAGCCTAGCCCGCGCTTCTGAGGCATCCACGAAGATATCTAAGGTCTTCCCCTTCGACGCGCGCTTCGAGCTCCCTGACGAAGACGTCTGACCCCATGCCGTCATCCAACCCAAATGAAAAATAGCTATAATATAAATTGAATCACAAAATATTAATTGAGAACTCTATTTTTCCGAGACTCACCGGCTAAGCGGCCAACACTGACGAAGTCCTGACTCGATCGTTTCCCGAGCCTGGGATGACCATCATCAGAGTTTGAGTTTCCAACGCAGATATTCGTGAAGCTCATCTTCCCGAGGGGATAAATTATCCAACCATTGTACAATAGATGCTAGCAGAGTAGCCTGCTTCCGCATCGGGGGCGTCAGAACAGTTTCGGGGAACGGGCATTTCAGGAACGAGACACGACTGTTGACAACGCCACCGAACGAACGGACAGGATCGAAGCTGATAACCCGTTGCACGTGGTGTCCCGATATGGCCATTAAAGACTGCGCCTCGACGGAGGGGCGATCACCATGGGATGATGGTCGATTTAAGTAACGATGTGTCCTTCGACCAACATCGAGATCTGTCCGCTCTGATTGATCCGTAGGAAGTCAGAGTGGAGACTCGTGGTACGTAGGAGTAATGTACACGATTCTCACCTCAGATCAGAGACATCGATAGAGGGGGATGGGGATACACTCTCGGAATGGATTCGATAGAGCGATTTCAGGACTCCCCGGTTCGAGGCCACGACTAACCAGCTCTTTGCAGAACTGCTGGCGGGGCGTACAATTCGAATCGCATTGTTTGAATCGCTTGTGGAAATCCAGCAGGAGCACGACTTGGATTTCTCGAACAGTGAAGGCAGCGGCGCGGCGGTTTTTTAATTCGTGGAGCTGACCTCTTTGCCTTGGGTTTTCCTCCCCTCCATGGGATAGTCCTCCGCTCGTTCGGCTGCCCCCGTTCTTCTCGGAGAGAGATGAGAGACACGATTACCGATTTGAGGGGTTCGTCGACCGAATGATTATATGTATTATCGAAAGGGGGTGCGTCACTTGACTCTCCGCACAAGAGGGAAGTCTGAAGCCTCGGTCTAGGTCAAAATAGAAGGATGAGCTCGAAGGATTGATCGGAACCTACGTCATCTGGAAACGCTTTCGTCGGAGTTTCCCTCCTGTTCGAGCCCCGCAATGGATAAGAATCATCCAAGCAACGTGGCTTGCCTAGCTCGCCAGAGTAGAAATTCATTGCCAGAATTCCGTGAGCTGAGATTCTGCACGGATACTGATAATAATTGATGATTGATATGTCACTCACAGAAACATCGTTTTGTTCAATTCTCGGCGATATCGACCGCTGTCTGACTCGAACGATCGAATGTCGTCCAGGGCTGACGAGAGTCGCCAAGCGGGGAAACTCCCGGATCCCGATTCCATGAGGGGAGATGTCCCATTCTCAAGGTGCTTACGAGATCGTCGCCAGTGGCGTTGGCGTTTAATCATCTCTCTGTTCCATTTTCCCTCGGCTAAGATTCTTGTCAGGAAAAGCAATCTTGACGGTAAATCCACGCTCGGGGACCATGAGCACGAGCTTATCCTTAGGTATATGTACTTCTCTTCCATGAAAAAAAGGTCTCCTGCGCGCTATCGAAGAGCTCAAGGAAGAAATGCCCCTACTTGCTCTCCGGAACGTGTGTCGGCTCGAATCCTTCTTTCCATTGCTCAAATGTTCCGCGCTCGGTCCCGTATTCGTGATGCCAAAACCGCTCAACCTCTACCATCTTTGTGAAGACTACGCGCTTTTTGTAATTCTCGCTCCGATGGCTCCTCAGCCTACAGGCGCACGCCTGTCGTCGACTGAGATGGCCGACTTCTGTTACATTGAATGAATCTCGAAGTACCAACGGGCGTACACTCGATGCGCTGCGCCGACCTCCGCGAATCCGTATGCGAGGAGGAGGAGTGTCACACACCCCTGGATATTGAGAGAAAACACTGGCCAATGTTTCCGACACGTCGTCAGGGGAAGACCGTGAAATCCGGGAGCGACCCGGTGAGTCCGCACTGCGTGGCGGTACGAGCCTAACTGACTTGGAAACCACCGTTGGCCCTAGCCAACGGCGTGGTTCTTTTTGGTTGCGAGGCGAAGGAAGTTACTCACTCGACTTCGGGCCACCCTGGAAGCTTCCCCCGACGACTATTTATTGCGGAATACCAAATACAGATCATATAGTCTTCCCCTCCCGATGGAGCAGTCGCTGAAAACCGACAACGACGGCAAGAGCTATCGCGGGATCGGACTTCGGTCCGCGACAAGGAGGAGTATCAGAAAGATGCCGAGACGCGTCTCCCTACGATGCTCACCCCTCGAGCGATTCGACTGAAGAGCCAAGGGGAGGGAAGGGTCCTGAAGAAGTAGCTCATGAATTTCGGAGCAAAATTTCGCCAGAAAATTCAAGAAGCGAGTGATCCGACACTCTCCGGCTGCACCTCTTTCCCTATCCCATGCATTTCTCACGGAAGATTGTTCGGACAAGATGCTGCGGCCGCTTCTGGTCTTGCTCCATGAAGACGAATCAGTGCTCCACGAAATCTTTCGATCGGATCAGCGTGAAAAATCCTACCCGTGCTGTCGCAACGCTTTATAAAGGATTATTAGGCGCCTTCCAATTCTCGACACCCGACTTGAGATCCGGTTCTCTACATCCCACAGGCGGTCTTTTCCGTCCAACTCCATCCGGAATGATTGCGGCCTAAGGAGTTTTGGGCATTGCCCCGAATGCCCGATCCCCCGAAAGCTATGAGTAGATCCCCTGATCTACTCATAGCTCTTGAACTCGGTCGGCTTGGATTCCTGTGCAAGCTTACAGAGTTTGTCGATGGAAACGTTTTATCATTCTCCGCAGAAGACCCCGAACTTATTCTGTTCCACAAGTTTTGACTTATGGAGGATGGAATGATACAATGATATCATTACGCCATCTAGCAACACTGCGGGCACAGTCCCGATACCGCGGCCACCCTGGCTCCGCGTGGCTGCTCGCGTGTGATACGCTCAGACGTGATTCAAGTGGAATCATTCTCGGAATGCACTTCAAAGAAATCGGTGCGCAGGAATTGCCGAAGAGAATAACTGATCGATTGGATTTCGCTCATCTCGTTTTCCTCATTCGAATCGTCCTGGAGAGAGCATACCACGTATTCCGCCGCTGCCATTAAGGGTGATACCTACAGGGCGAAGGCATGCCATAAATTCTCACGGATTTCTTCGACACCGTGCTGATATCTACTACTCACGGAACCTCAAAGCGTCACCCTCCAATGACGAATGGATGGTGAAAGATCAATGCCACACCGCGGGCGAGTTCCCCTACACTCTCTCACATAGAGACTCACCGTTCGAATGATGGACCCGGTGAGTTTCCCCATACGGAACCAGGTTGAGAGTCTCCAAGCATACGTAAGGCTCTCGACTGAAGGGGCAGCCAACTTCGTCTAGAACGGTCCGATTCGGATTGGAGCTGCGTTGTGCAGAGAACTTTGATTTTTCTCGAGACTTCCTTGACTATGGAGGAGGACACCGATTCAGAAAAGGTGGAAATCGCTGTTTCGCTGCGGGGATGTTCACCGCAGCCTCGGGTACCTAACCTAGGACCTCGCGCGTGACCCGCAAATCGAGATCAGAGGATTTCGCGTCCTAGAAGCAGTTTTCTCGATTTCTGATCATCGCACGGACGATCAACCGACACATTCGGACTTCTACGGGAAGGAGAATCTCGACAAAACCGTCAAAGACAACAGACGGCTTGGCTTAAACGGACTCTTTATTTATTGCATAGATAAAATCGAACAAACTTTAAGTGAGAGCTCACTTGAGAGTTCTTCGGTGCTCTCTTTTTCCTGTAGAATATGATTCGGAAGTAGCTAAGACCTTCGAAAATTCGTCTATAAATTAGCACCTAACACTTATCTATGGTGCTCGAGTGCTGCTCACTCCAGAGTGGAACCCGCAGAAGATTTCTGACAATGTCTGTTTGCCCATCGAGGCGGAGGAATGGGGACGCTTGATCGAGTCGCGACCGTCGATGAGTCTCCGTTTTTTTCATCTCTCCTGTCTCCACAGGATCCCGCGCGGGGCGCGGAAAGTAAATTATTTGTCTAGATGGCAGTTTACGTGAACGATTTGGTATTTCTAGCACTTTCGAGAAACGATCGTTTTGAGCATAATCAAAGAATCGAAAGCTTCCAAAATTTGCATCCGACCAAAAGTCAGAGAAAAGTGGAGAAGAAAAAACAGCCACGGTGTTGCTTCTGCGGGTTCATTCCTTCCTGTTAGAGTATTCAGCCTCTGAAACCTGGTTTTCCTTCCTTTTGAAAATTGCAGAAGTCGAGAAACTGGCTGGCACCACGGTAGCTCGGAGAAGCAGCGAGATGCAAGTTTGCTTTAACCTTTTGCATGGGATTTTGATTGATTATAGTTTTGCTGAATTTTCAGGGGACTTCTGGGAGAGAGTTTCTTTCCTAGGCACGGAACATACCAATTTCACTGCTTTGGCTCCTTCAAGGAGTCGACTTCGTTCCTTATTGCTTCTCCTATGAATTGTGTGAGGCTCAAATGTTCCCTTTATGTGATCGAATGAGGCCAGATCTCAATTTGAACTGTATGTGTTCGAAGAAAAGAGTCACATCAACATTCGCATCATTCCGGTTGAAGGCGTCTCTTCTTACGATGCGGCGCCGATGAAAGACCTACCGGAGGAAAGACACAGAGCTGTGTAGATTTGTACCTAACGACAGGAGTAAAGAACTGCGTAGTGTAGATTCTTGTCTAGCGTATATTGTATGGTTATATAATAATTATCGTCGTAATAATATTAATTATAATTAGTAGCTCTCGCGAGAAGAATAGTCACGTAAGAAAGTTCGATTCCCAACTAATTTGTACAAAAGTCTAGCAGGCACGGCGGCAAGCGGCAATAGCCTTGTCATCCTCGGCGATGTCCTGGAACCCATCACGCATCATCAGTCCGGTTTCCTCAACGACAGAAGGCGAAAATCATTTCCTTCAAAAATCTTCGACCCTATCCTCGTCGTCGTGCTTTTGGAAGGGGTGAAAGATGAGGTAGGCGGCGGAGACGAAATCCACAAGCGCCGCGTTGTGGGTGTATAAACATGTACGTGGATAGAAATTATTCTCTCCCCATCGGATCGCATCGGATCGCATAATATTGTCTGGCCCATTGACAAGTGTCAATCGACGTTGAGCTTCCCTAGTTCACAACACGTTATCTTCCGGAGCCGATGCGTGATCATCCCAGGGCACGAATACCTACGGTTTTACAAAACCTTGTGTGATCATCGTTACAAACGAGTATTTGTTTTCTGTCGGGGCTTTCGTTACTCCAACGAATAGAAAAAAGTAGAATTACATCAGCAGACTGTCAATCGTGGAGTCTTATTGCTAGACACAGATTATCAATCGATTGAGAGATATAATTGACATCTTCGTCTTCTTCGTCGTCAGCTTTGTCATTATCATCGTCATGATGATCATCATCATGACCTTAATAAAATTGATAAGTAATAATTTATTATCACAAGTTCTAGCGCTTACGGAAGGGGAACGGGGGGGAGAGAGTTTTCGGGATGGAGGAGAATCTGAGGGTTTCTGGAGTTTTGGAGGAAGGCAGATTCGGGAGAGATTTCACGAGAGGTGTAGGGGAAGGTCGACTGGAGGAAAAGGTTTGGGAATGAGAGACGGGAGTTCGGAAGGGGAAGTGTAGAAATATGGATCATTGGTTACAGTATTTTGATTGTTCAGTCGTGGTAAATTCTTTGGCAACACGAGTTGGCGATCAGGCTTGCTCACTCGCTGACACCAGTCGATAAATGCGGCTGTAGAATTTGTGTGTATGTATTCGTTGTAATTGGGTAGAAATCGCAACAATTGGGCCTCTCTGGGTCCCCGTGCGCCCTCGCGAGCGTCGAACACAACCCGAGCCCGTAATAGGAAACGTTGTTCTCTTATATTTTGATAAAATAATAACAAGGCAGTAACGCAAAAATAACAAACAGACTATGTACAAAATAGGGTGTACTTTGTCGATGCGTAGAGAAACTTCGCCTCAGACAGCTCCAAGTTTTCAAGTGAAAGATCAGCTAAGCTGAATGAACAAATGTTTCGACGGATGAATATTTCAATCGATTCGATGGATCGATGAATGAATGGCTTGGTGATCGATTGATCGGTCGGTCGGTCGGCGCTCCTTCCATTCGGACGAACACCTGCTGACAGTCTCTGGCGCTGCATCTACCTGAAGACTCGACAATCCACTGATGAAATGCGCTGTCCTCGGATCGCTAACTGCTTGGCTGGCTGGCTTGCAGGCATGTGTTTCCTTGCGTATATACCTCAATCAACGTATATATATGTTTGTTTGTATGTATGCATGGATGGATATAGTGGGTCCAGCAAGGCAAGAGCGAGATCTGCGTCTAGGGCAGAAATCATCCGACTACAAGTGATCTCAATAATGGAAGGAATACTTGAGCTGCACAACCGAGGAGAGTTGAGTGAACTGAGATTGAGCCTCTCCCCCAACCCGACCGTGCGGGGTCGAGGGTAGAGGGCGCATGCTTCGGACGCGAGTCATCCTTCTAAAACACCACGGATGGATTCACGCTGCCTCGTCGGCCTCCGTCTTGATCATGGGCGACTTGCTTGGTGAGAATTGTTGATTGTCAACAAAGGTGTCGTCCGCTTTGAGGCAGAACTCAACACGTCGCTCGTTATCCATAAGCCCTGGAAGGGAGAGATAAGGTGAGGATTCATGACGATTCGCTACTCCCCAGGCTTCCGGATTCTCTCGTTCCACGAAGCTACGAATTCACCGACGAGACCAACCAGACATGACGGATCCATAGTCGACGTTATCTTCAAGGAAGCACTGCTGCTGATTTGCCGCCCACCGAGGCTCTGAGTCGGGATAAGCGGCGTAGATCTGACCGCTCGCGCCAGCCATCGTAAATTGCACTCTGTCCGATGAGCCGACCATCGGGAGGTCTTGCGAAAGTGAACAAGCTACGGAGGATGAGATTTCTGAATTGCTATGCGGAGTCAATTCCCCGGTCTCGTGATAACGATTTCGTGGTACTTCCACGCATCGATAGGATAGCTTTATCGGAGGACTCTCTCCATCACTAACCTGGAGGACTTTCCCCCGAAGTCGTGCTATGCTCGGGTGTATCGGGCATGACGGGTGGGGACGGACTCTGATGCGGTAGCTCACCGCCCGGTGCTCTGATAATCGTAACAGGTCGAGCCATCGGCGCAGGTGGAGGTGGAGGTAACATGGGCACTCCTCCCGGTTGGCCATAGAATTGGGGAAGCCTGGCCCCCCTCGTTCGGGAGTGGGAGAGCCGGGCGTGCCCGCTTCGCAGACCAAATTCACGAAATCGCTGAAAGTGCTGTCGGGCTGTCCGTTTTCCGGATGGTACTTCGTTTGCGAGCTCAAATAGAAGCCGCCCTGTTGCCCGTGACCGTTGTCGTTGGATGCGTCGAGCCAAGGGCCCTGAGGTCCGCCCAAAGGTCCGTTCTGGCTCGTGCAATAGAGTTGGACGACCGGCTGTCCCGAGGAGTCGGTGAGCTGCAGACCGGCTTCGCAGAACTGACCTTGGTTCGCGGAGGATGCTTGTGAGTTGCTGGTCTGATGCGATGATCTACGTGCCCTGTGAGCAAAATGATCGATGTCATCGCAAGTTCGATAGATCACAGGTCACAGGATGGAGGCCTCAAGCTTAGAATTGAAGGCTTTCTCTCACCTTTTAACCGGTCTGACTTGTCGATGGTCGAGAACGGAGCTTTCGTAGGCGCTCTGCTGGAAGAAACTACCCGTGTTTGGGGGTTCCAACTTGATTATTGGCTGGGAGCTGGTCACCGAGCTCCCACTGTTGGATGAGCTTCCAGCTGGAAAACGATTGGAGGTTCTCAGTTCGGCGAAAATCTTCTTCCCAATATCGAGTAAAGCATCTCGCTGACCCGACTGGATCGCGGTCCCGGCACGGGGAGAATTCGAAACTACATTGCGTATCGTGAGTAGACCGCGGCCAATTCACCTGCTTCAGCGACGATCGTAGTGCGTGCGAGGCGGTACAGTTCGGCAGAGTTGAAAACTCCATTCGCATAGAGTGTGTCATCTTCATCACAGCAGTCGTCTTTTTCAGAATCCGGAACACTGAGTCCTAGAAGTGCGTCTGGAATGTTCGAAGGTGTGTTTTCGAGAATTCGAAGAGCCCAAGACCATAGTGTGTGAGAACATGAGGCGCATCGATCGAGTAGCGGGAAGCGCAGCCCCCTCGTGACGCACGGGAACGGAGAAATACGGCCCATGCGGCTCGCGTTGTGTTGCGTCGGTGCTATCGCGCATTCCCTTCCGCAGGGGAAGCTGCCGGAGCTCTATTGATCGGCGCGAAAACCGAGTTTCTCACCGTGGTGTCGGATGTGGTTCGCGAGGTAGAGGTCGAGTTCTCTGACGGAGACGTTGATGTGATACGGATTGACACACAGGTTCGGATGCCGACAGTGTGGGCTCTTCTCAAGACGCTCCCCGTCGGTTGATTCTAACGGGATCGCCTTGAAGAGGATCACCATGACAAGATCCAGTCTCCACACTTTGTCAGCCTGCCTCAGACAGTCGATTCGTCTCATCTTGCCCTTCTGATCGGGGTTCGAAAGAACGCAGAGCTGACGCCGCTGTTTCGCTCCGGTGATGCCAAGCACGAAATCCTCCCGGCAGTCCTGTCGACGAAAAGATCGAACCTCCGAAATCTGATCCAATCGACCGCAGGGAATCGTAGTGAGGGGGAATCGTGGAGAGAGCAAGGGGGGTAGGGGCTATTGCCATCCACATACCTGGGTGATGTCTTTTCGCAGTTTCCCGAGAAGACGGCTCGCCCATTTATGCTTGACTTCGGACCTTTCGTTCTGAAGTTCTTCTTTGCATCGACGTTCTTCGTCGAGTGACATCCTCCGCTCATGTTTCTTGAAATACTTCCGCTTGGCGGCCTGCAGGTTGAACCAGGTGTACGAGAAGGCGCGGACGTGAGGCAAGAGCGCCTCGATGAACGGGTGGAATTCATCCTGGAACGAAGGAGGGATTTCGTGCTTAATTTTCCACGGTTCTCACTCAGACCCCACTGCGACACATCGAGGATCCTCTCCCCTCCGGGATGGGGAGAATTCCCTCGGATTCCGCGTCCCTCTCCTCTATCGATTCTACCTCAAGCGCTCGAGCGCTCAGGACCCAGGAGAGCGAAACATGGTCATTGCGTCTGTCCTTCATACCAAAAGCTGGTGAAAATTAATTGAATGCATCCGGAATACTGCTTTCGAGTTCAATGGAACCTCGCCGTGAACCGGCCAGAGGCTCGAACAGAGCCCTGCTCGCCCGAACCGTGTGAAGGCCACGGCTGCTCAGATCTTATATAAGCGCTGAGCCCGGCTTCTACCTCGAAGTCATTCTGTGCGGACCCTTCAACCCGATGAGCCTTCAGCTGTTTACTTTCTGGAATTCTCCCGTGTCGTGTCCCAAGACCGGACCGACGACGGAGACACTATCTGTGTCTCAGTTCCGAGCCCGTCTCGACGACATGACTCGGAGCTCGACGAAGCGAAATGTTACAGTGTTCTTTTACACGCAATCCGCTCACATCGTGCTGGCATTACACGTCTCGAGGACGCCGCGATAAACAAAAACATGCGCTCGTGCTCACTCCGTTGTCCGAATAACACAGATTTTATGCTAATTATCCCAGATTTTCTGGACATTCCACCGATGCTTGCAGTTCTGGACGCACGAAACGATCGCACCCAGAATCACCGAGCGACCGACAGGCTCTCGGGACGCCAATGAGGTAAGGGCGCTCATTCGGTTCCCTCGAGATGATGTATTCTGCGTTCACATGGATACGCTGGAAGTCCTTCCTCGAATTTCAATGTCGCGCTCAAGAGGCGTTAATCGACAGAATGGCTGAGTACAGTGCGAGCGAGATTCAAATTCTCTCCAGGAGGAGAGCGGAAGGCTGTGGAACGAATCGCGTGCTTGACGCTTCATTAATTATTAACCATCACTTCATTTGGCTGACTACGCGCCTCCCAGACCGCAGCGTATTGAGACCCCCCCTGTCCCTCCTGGGTAGATGTGGCACTTCCTCACTCGAAGGAACTCGTTCTGAGTGGTTTCATAACGGAAAACATAATATTCTACACTTTTACTCGCAGCCGAGCCAGCTCCTCGGCCTCCGATTACAGCAGCTGACTGATTGACTGGCTGATTCGAGATCTGCATTGTCTGAACAGGTGGCTATGATTCAGGTGGCTGACGGCGAAAGTTCTTTTTCGACGAAGCGCGTGCGTACGCTCGAAAGCGAGCGGACATACATGTGTGTAGAGTTCGTATGGTCGGAGACGACCCGGCTAGAAGTCGCAGAGGGAGATCTGAAACGATCACGCGGCTTTGATGAAGAGAGAACAAGGTCAGAATTCGCTGCCGCCGCTGCTGCTGCTACCACCGCCGCTTCCGATGCATTCACTGCCGGTTGTACCGCTGCCGCGTGCAATACTGCGGTCTCAATGGGCAGAGGTCCGCGAGCCAGTTAACGATTCGCAAGCTCTTGTACAAACGGTCTCTGTCTCTTTTCCGGCGGTCGACAGAAACAACATCGGACGACGGTGACGACAGTACAAGGTCAGGGATAATCGAGCCCTTTGGTGTCGGCATCTCATTATGTAACAACCCCGAGCAACTGGTTTCTCCTCGTTGGAGCGAACTCCAGGGAAGGCAGATGGGGTTCACCTTGGCTCCCGTCGTGGGCTGTACCCACTCAGCTCATTCTCCGAGTGAGCGAGTGAGTGACTGGCTGACGGACTGACTGGCAGACAGGTAGATGGATGGATGGAGGGGCTGACTGACGGCTGACTGACTGACTGCGAGCAACCGCATTCCAGAATCGAACGAAGCATTTATTACCTCAATTATGAAACCAAGGTCACACCAGAAACCCTCGGCCCGAGGAAAGCCGCACACCCAGGCTAAGGATTAGCGATCCCAAACCCCCCTTAGAGAGCTCGACCCATGGCTCAGCGAATAAGATAGGGATCTCTTGGATGGAAATTCAGGGAATTCTGAAGTTTTCCCCTGGAGGGGAGATCGTTTCGTGAACCTGCGAGAATACCTTCGGACGGTGTCGCCCGATATAGCGACCCAAGTTGAAGATTCCCGCCCCGCAGCCTTGGAATGACTGTGGGAAGAGATCGATCGAGCAGCGAGTGAGTGAGTTTCCTCGACCTTGAGCTGTGATCGGGAAAACAGTAACAGCAAATTGTAACCAACGAGGCGAGCTGTTCTGAATCGTGTCAGGAACTACAATTTGGTCATTTCGAGATCGAGTCGTCCGTTTCGTCTCGGCTTCGCTGAGCCGAATAAGACGAGGAGGTATCATAATGAATCTGGGATGCTGGGATCAGAGCTCGCTATCACGAGCGAGGATAATTCTGTCTCTACGTTTCTAGAACTCACGAGTGGCATACAGCTCGAGGGCAGCTCGGGACTGGTGTGGCTCGCCAATGGACTGAGGTGTGTTTGGTGGGCGTTCTGGTGAGGAGCCAGCTGGAGAGGTAGGTGGCTAGGATGGGATCCTAGCGAACTCAAAGAACTTGGGCTTGTCGTAGAAGTTGTCGTTGCAGCCTGAGTGAGGCTCAGAGAGGGATGCGTAGGGGACCGGTCGAGCCAATCGAGGCCCCCCGATGGCGGGGACACGACCGAAGGGCTCTGATGACCGCTCAGCAGGGGACGGTGCGGTATAGCAGCGCTAGAAGGCGGGTTGCAAGATGGGGCTTGCACGCTCAGAGATGAACCACAGGCCACCATTCGGATGTGCAGGGATTGAGGGGAATGGCGCCCCACGCGAAAGCGTAGCGCCAGGTGGATCTTAACAGCATTAATCGGCGGCCTTCCGGCCGGAGTGGGCTCTACCACCGCATGTCGTGCGCCTCACAACTAGACTGCCTGGAATGAGAGAACGGAAATGTTACTTCGACGGGGAAATTTATGCGATCCTATCAAAATTTTCAAAATTACGCCGACGACAGGTTAATAAGCCACGGAGTCAGCCCTCGAGTAAATGGGGCAATAAACGAAAAATCCTCGATCAAACGCTTCCTTATTTGATTCGATTCGACTCGTCCGTGGTTTCCAGGAAATGAGACTAGATTGAAAATTTCTCGACACTTGGAGGAGCGATTCGCGAGGCGCTGCGAGTGGGCAACTCACAGTGACCGGGCCTTCTGGTCTTCGAATCTTGAGCTGACCATTTCGCTGCTTGATTAGAATTCCAATGAGCAATTAGTTTCTAACAATGGCCAATCGACTATACTGCTTCGCTAGAGATTGATTATTATTAATTGAAGCGAAATATGTGGCTCTATCCAGAATCGAACGACCCCACGATTGGCATTCTTCTTCTTCTTCGTCGTGGTCGTCGACTGGCTCTCACTCGTGAATACGTTGTCTTCGCAACGTCCTTGGCCTTCAGAAGATCATCCGCAAAGATTGTTTTACTCCGCGCTCTCGACAACTCACAATAACCATTTGATATTTACTCAAGATAGAGTGAGCAGCGGGAAACGCCGATGAGCATGCTATTATCCTCCGGGCGAGTCTCTCATCTCTCATTCAGCTGGAGGAGCGGGCAATCGTCCGCTCGCTCGCGAAGATTCAAAAGAGAACCGTGAAAAAATGGCAGAGAGAAAACGCGCTTGATGTTGAATTGCGCAATGTTGTGACATCACCCAGAAATGTCGAAGTTTTCGCAACCACCGCTCGTTCCATCCGATGGATCCACACGAGAGCGAAACTTGTAGACGTATGTTCGCACACTATTAACTTCGATTCATCATCAATCAGCGGTCTCCATCCAGTTATTGTCGATCTTATGAACCCCCGGAGAGGAAGGCTAAGCTGGACGATCTCCAATTATTCTAATCTGATCGCTTCGTGGATAGTCACACTTATCTTCGGCCACAACTCGGTCAGGAATTCGCCTCGCTTGATAATGATGATTCGAGAACTATCTATGGAAGTATTCGTGAGAATAACCAGTGGAGATCAAACTGGGATAAAAGGATAATAAATGGTACGGGTCGGCGCTCTGATCTATCGCAATGGAACTTCCCGGAGCCTACTAGCCTCCGGTTCGGATACGGACGCGGAAACGCTGGATCGGAACTTGTGTCGCTGGAAGCTCCGAGATGGAGCTGCCCAATCGGTCGTCGTTGCCAAGTCGCTCTGCCGACTGCAGCCATGAAGGGAGACAGAATATTGCACGATACATTCAAACTTCCGCGGAGGAGCGGGACGGGCTTCTCGGGACTATTTATTGTCGATCCCCGTGAGCTCCTCGACGACGACGACAACAGAGGGAACCACCCAGCCGCTGGTCAGTCACATAACGACGAAGTCAGAGACTCTCGCCATCTGCTTGTCTGCCTGCCGGCATATCTGTTCGCGCGGTTCCGATGACGTTGCCGCTGATGTTAATGCCGGTTCCGCTGTCGCTGCCGCCGCCACCGCCGTAGCCGCGAGAGAAACACCGTCGGCGCCCTTGGACTGGCCTTGGCGTCTGGCGTGGAGCTTCGTTGACCACCAGAAGACAATTTGAAGCAATTTTTTCAGCGAGTTTTTGTGCCTAGCAGACAGCCCCACCTGAGTAGATTCGAGGATTGTACGGCGTTCCCCCATTTTTTCGCGAGCCCTTCCAGGCGGAAGACGCAACGTCGTCCTCGGACCTCGTGCGCCGCTCCGAATCAGTGAAATCCACATATTGCTCACTATTGGTGGAAACGCTCCTCCCGAGTGGAGCCGGTAGCCATTTCGCAGCTCGTGGCGCGGCGATGTCGAGAAAGATAGCCTCAGACCGACGCGTGGTGGTTGATATGTGATCTTCTCGACCATCACGGAAGGCCGATCATTGGGGAAAAATCCCGATAAGACAATCCCGAAACTCAAGCTCTCGGGATTCCTCGAGTCTCTTCGGGGTCATTCGAAGAGAATTCCCCGAGAATCGGTTCCGGCGCCTGACGGATGTGCATCCATACATCATCATAAGGTATCGCAAGCCGCGAATCCCTCTCGCGTTTCACAAGCCACGTAATTCCATCCGTAGCTTCCGATCAGCAGATTGGAGTGCCGATTGGACGGATCTTTAAAAAAACGGTGACAGTTTCTCGGATTGAGCAAGTGCTTATTTGCAGGAAACTAGCTCTTCTGGCGGGGAAAAAACACTGTCGGACTCCAAGGTCTCGACGCTGGAAGGAGTTGATTGCGTTGTTTGACTGACAACTCGACCAATGGAACGAAGGAGCTTGTTGTGGCATGGACGTTGCCGCCGATGAGAGCAACGCCTTCTCGATTTTCTGATTTGTCGTTGACCAGAGGATCAAGTGCTATTGGCTGCCCGTCAGGCATCTTAGGCGTCCGTCCGTCTGTCCGGCCGAACCAACCGCCGATTGGCTGCCTTCCCCGTCTTGTCTACCTTGATTTCAAGAAGTCCTCATGAGAAGTGTGCATCCATCGAAACCTAGGAGACAGCAGCCTTTATCGACCGAACATTGTCAGAATGGACCGAATTCTCGGCATCAATGTATCACCTGGCGCGTCTTCAGCGATGATGATTGCCATTGATTTGATTCTTTGTTCTCCTTCGAGAGAGCAGGCGCTTCCCATTGTCGTGCTTCGGGGAACACAAATCGAAAGTGACATGCATCGTGGCGCGGCGGCCAGTGATTTGACGCGCGGGAGGCTGGCCGGGCTGAACTCGGCAAAGGGGACGCCGTCCGATCTTCATCGCTCCTCGGCGACCGTTCCCGTTTATAGTCTATGGGTTCGATCTGGACGTTGATGTGACACGTAATTAGTTGACCTCCAGAACTCCCCCGCTCCAAGTGAAAAATCAAACGACTTCCGAAAGCTGTCAAGGACAACCAGTCAGAATTACTGAGTCCGAGTCAATCCTCCCTCTGAATACAACAGTGACAGCACAATGCTTCTAGTTGTCGCGAATCATTCTAAAGTTTCCAGGAGGTCATCGGAAATCACGATTTAGCCCAGTCGATTCAAATGGCAACAAAGAGCGACCCGACGCACCGCAATTCCGCGTACGCTACAGAGCCGGGCCTTGTCTCGAATTCCCGACTATTTCACGGAATCGACTAACTCGATCGCTCGTTCCCTCGCATCCCAATACGCTGCTGTGTCGAAATTTCTGAGGTATGGCAGCATCTCAGTCTCGATGCGAACCTCCGTTTCCCTGAAGGATTTCCTCTGTGCAGCGAGTCGCTTGGTTCCAGGATTCGGTAATGATTCGTATGGTGCTTCTCATGCAGGAACATTTCCGAGCTTGAGGATGTACTCCCGTCGTTATCGGAATTCCGTACTCTTCACTTGTTTGTTCCGATACGGAAGCTCCGGAACTTATCACCTTATCGGTGAGTCTGAATCACAACCGGTTTCGAGAGATTGTGAGAATTTGTCCAAAGTGTGGCGAGCCTACTCCGGGGAGCATTCATTGCCGGTTTCTGTGGAGTCTCTCAATTAGAAACTCGACGCCAATTTTCTCTCATACTTCCCGACCCTTATCACCGGCGACGCCAAACTTTGCGACCGCATCGGAACTACGTTGAGCAAGCCGCGCATATTTTCAAGACAAGACAAGCTCGACATCGAAAGACCCTAGGGCAGTAGCGTCAAGACAGATAAATGGCCAGTTGCGTTACTCGAGGGAGTTGTTTGTTTTCGTGCCTTTTCGGAAACGTTGGAATAACAATTCTTCGAGCGCGTGCGATTCGCGCAGCGACGTCGACAGGATGGGAGAGTCTAAATACTGTTTCACCTTCGGCAGAGATTTCGCAACGCTTCGATTTCATTCTGCGAGTCTCGGCGACCGACGGCGACGGCAGCAGCTGCAGCGACGACGGCTCTTCCGCCACGACGCATGTTCGAACGACTGATTGTAGACGATCCCTACAGAGATGGAAAGAGGTCCTAGGTGGAAGCCGGCGTGACGTCGACACTCTAGGACTTTGCACCTCTAGGAAATCCCTGGCGTCAAGCGACGACGTCGAGTCGCCGTACAATAATGCCGTTTTCGGAAAGCTCTCAAATCGAAGCCAATGACTCGAACTTCCGAAGCTTTGTGAGCGGAACGAGTTCTTGTCGTGCAAGAGTCAAGTTCCGAAGAGGAACATCCCCTGTTTCTCACGAGAGACTTCCGATCTAGTTTGTCGCGAGACGCGTTATATATGCGAGCTTCACGGTTGTTGAGAAAACACGTGGCGTGATGCTTCGCGCCTCTCTTCCCGTGACCAAGTCTTATCACGCGCTGATAACGACTGTTTGGAAATCAATGACCGTTGGCGCGACTGGCGTAAACAGCCCGAATACTCGATGTGCAAGATCTCATTCAAGAAGTCGGACTTCCGGAGAACTCTTCGCCAGATCAACGCTCACGGTTCAGAGAATCTCTTACCACTCAACGAAAAGGGGGAACCGAACTTTCGAATTATGCCTCGCACGACTCCATGAACGCCTCACACTACCGTCGGGAATTATCGTCATCGGCGAAAACGTCGACAAGAGAAGGCTTATAGATAAGCCTCGAACATTGTAAACATACTCTATGAAGAGGTCAGATGTCAACGAGTTCCGAGGGGAGAGTTCATATCGTCGAGATCGATCAAGATAAGATATTCACTTGCCACGAAGCAGCGGATGTCGATGCGTCATAATTATGAGCTTCTGAAGCATGTATGGAATACGGGTCCTTCGAGTGGGCGACTCCAACGCAGATCTCTCCGAAATTTCGGGTTCCCGTT